GTCCCCATCCGCACAGGATCGATGGCAGATGCTAAGCTCTGGGTCTGAGCGGTATTTTCTTTAAAGGCAAAAGTAAAAACCCACTTGAGCAGCTTCAGGAGGTGATAAAGCGGCGCACGCCGGGGAAAGCCCGTGCGTCCAACCCTTAGGGCTGCTCCTCTTTGCCAAAAGCAACCCTCAGCCCTGCCGAAAGCCGTGGCACCCGGCTGCCCCGCCGCTGCTCCTTCGAATTTTGGGGGAAAAAAAAAAAAAAAAATCCAGTAAAAAGGAAAGTCAAACGCCGGGGAGGGGGAATAAAAATCGTAACTTCCCCTCTGTGCATCACAGCCCTGAAGTGTCACAGGCAGGACTCAAGCGGGCTGCTAAACTTAGATTTAAATTATATTTATATAGTAAAAAAATAAGTATGATTTAAATATACACACACACACACTCTCTCTGGTATTATTGTGGTTATATGCCTAGCTCTCCGGCTCACACCTCGGCCCCATGGCCGTCGGCACAAGACGCTGCCGGAGCCCCGGTACAACGCTCTCTCCGACAGCACCGCAGCCAGACCGGCACGTACGGAGGCTCAGCGTCCTCCTGAGTTCCTGAAAATCTTTGGGGAGAAATCATCTCCCACCGTTTCCTCCTCCATTAACCTCCGGAGATTCCCATGGATTTTGACTGGAGTCCCGCCAGAGCAGATTCACGGCTCCTGCGTGTTATTTTTACGGCCATTTTAATTAAAACCAATAAATTCCAGAGGGGAAGAAGGTCTTCCCATGGTGAAATATGCTTTGTCGAGTTTGCAGCCTCTGAGTAAATCAAAACGCCGCCGTTAGCAACCGTGGCTGTAAATCCCGCTGCTGGATGGAGCCCAGCTCGCCGGGCAGATGAGCACCATGAATTTCCCTCCTCGACAGCCTCAGCATCTCTCTCGCCACTTCGATTTGATTTAACCCCTCTCCCCCGAGCAGGGGCTGGTTGGAAGGAGGGGGGGGTGGACGGGAGAGGCGGCGTCCCCTCCTTTATCTGGGATGCGGAGGAAAAAAATACAAGCGAAGACAATGCTACGAAGAACTTCCTAAGAGGAGCAATCCCCGGAGCAGAGCAGGGCTCGGGTCAAGATAAAGCGGCACCGATAAACCTCAGGATGTAGAGAGATGTGTGAGATGTGCGAGATGCCGGGGAGCGACCGGCATCAGCGATGGGGGTGAGGAACCGCAGGAACCATCGCTTCCCTTCGCCTCCTGCGTGGGACGGCAATGGGGTGATGCTCTCCCCCTCCAACCTCACCTCCCTGCCTCAGTTTCCCCAATTGCGGAAACTTTATCCACGGCGGCAGCAGAGCGACTCGGCAGGCAGAGCAGCAGCAACTGAACGCAACAGCAAAGCCCTTTTAAAGATTTTTCCATTTGTTTTATGTATCCACTGGGTTTATTTTTAACATTCCAGCTGAAAAAAAAATAAAAAATAAAATAATTAAACAAATGCCCAAGCTGAGCCGAGCGGACGTGTTTGCTGGAACCTGCCAGGATGATTAGTCCTTTTGCAACTAACCCCTCGGAAAAGGGTCAGTGTGGGGTCTGCGGCTGTGCCGGGAGCCAAGCGAAGGGATGAGCCCTCTTCCCGAGAGCTCCTCAGCCATGACAAAAATCTATTTCGCGCTCCCCGACCCGGCGTTTCCCTCCCGCCGGGAGCTATCGGCGGCCGGACTGCGTCAGAGCTGCGTGCAAGCGGAGACTCGCCGCCTTGCTCTGGGCCGGGGAGGTCGCTTTCGCCCCGGGAAGGTGTTTAAACCCCATGTCCCGGAGGACACACACCTGCAGGACGGAGCCCTCTGCCCCGTTCGGGTTTTCGGTGCCTCCTTGCGAAACCAGAATGGAAACAGCCAGAGAGGCTGGTGCATGGCATGAGGATGCAAAGTGCAAAGTGCCAAGGCAGATATAGCACGTTAAAGCCATCCCTGTCCTCCCAATTCCAGCCCGTACCCATCCCGTCATCCCTTTGGGATGGTGCTGGCACCGCTGCCACCGAAACCCTCGCTCCGGGACGGCAGAATCCCACCGCTTGTCATTGCTGCCTCCTCGGTCAGCGGCCCAGGAGGTGTTTACCATCTGAACCATCAGATGAATGAAAAGCTATTAATTCCCTCCTAGGTGGTTTTATGAGGCTCTTGATGAAATATCTGGATGCTTCGACACTGCAGGAGTTTTGTGCTGGCAGAGTGCTACGCAGACTGAAAACCCCATCTCCAGGGTTGAAGCGGCTGCTGGCCTTCCCTCCCTGTCCTCTGTCCCCTGCTCCATCCCTCCTGAACCAAAAATATCCAAAATTGAGGCAAACCCTCCTCGTTGGCCAAGCCAGCTCTGTCCCAGGGCACGGGGCAATGAATTAATCCATCCCCAAAGCGAAGAGGCGATGGAGGGACCACTTATGGGTTCCCACAGCCCCCACATCCGCTGGCTCTCCAGGAAAAAGAAGGTTTTGCAGACCCTGAAAAGGTTTGCTCCCCCCGTGGGGGCGGGGGGAGTGTCCTGCCCCAAGGGGGGCGAGGGTGACCCTCAGCATCCCGCAAGCACCGAGCAGGCAGTGCTGATGGGTCCATATTTGCACCCCAACCCTGCAGCATTCCCCCAAACCCCTCACTCTGCAGCAGCATCCCTCTTATCCCGCCCAGCATCCCTCCTTATCCCTCCTTATTCCCCCCTGCATCCCTCCTT